AAACAAAAATGCTGGAAGAAGAACGAAGTGTGCTCTTGATGTGTGTCTTAGTAGCCTGGATGTGGAGGAAGAATTTGTGAGCTTGAAAATAGAGCAATAAAACATTCTAAAAGGAAAAACAATGCAAAGTATGAAATAACGACATCTCTAGATAATCTGAGAACTGTGGGCCAGCTTCAAAGGTTGTAACTGTAGTGCTGTCAGGGAAAAGAAGCAATGGAACGAAGGGTTTCCCCTGATCAGCTAAGAAAATTCCTCTATTGGAGAAGTATGGCAGAATCGACTGGTAGAATACAGGAAACCTCATAAATAGATTTATAACGAAACACAAGGCAATTTAGCAGGTTACCAATAAGATCAAGAGACTTGACCACAGTTCTTCTATGTTGACACATTCCTCTCTCTGAGTAGCAGGCAGAGGTCAGAAACAGAGTGCGTTAGAGGTCCAGTTTTGAGATTTAAGGTGTCTGTTGAGTTTAGACCGCAGGTTTGCAGGGTGTCTCTGGCAGTGTCCTGCCTTGTACAGCATTCTCCTCTGTCCTCACTGACTGTTCCCCACATGACCTTCAAAGACAGAGTCACTGCTGAGGTGAAGCCCAAAGAGACTGAAATAGCAGATACTATTCTGGCTCTTTTTCAAGTTTTAATATCCTGTATTGGTTCACAGCCTCTGACTAAGCATCTTGACCTTTGTTTAGGAACCTATCAAAATGAAGTGCTTTGGTGCAGTGTGTCTGGGAGCAGGTTTTAGATACATGAGTCTGGTGGGATACCATTAGGAAATGTACATGAGGCTAGACCTTTAAACTACTGTGTGGTTGACATCAGACAGACAAAGAGCACACTGAAGAGAAAAAGAGGACACTGGGTCAGTGTGACCCAGAGAAGAAGATTTCATTTAAGGTGTGTGTGCACGTGTGTGTGTGTGCACGTGTGTGTGTGTGTGTGTGTGTGTGTGTGTGTGTGTGTAAGTGTGTGTGTGTGTTGAATATATCTACGGAAAAGGCATACATTAATTATGTTTATAGGAAAGAAAGCTGAAAAAGTTGTGATATACTAATGATGACACAAGCTTAACAGAAGACAAGTCTGTGATTTAAAGCATGAGACGTATATTGTTATTTGAAATAATAAGAGAAGGATAAGAAAGCCATACAAGAAAGGGGGAGTCTTGAATGACAGACGCAGTAGAGAAATGTAAAGCAAAGATGAGAAAAGAAAGGCTGGACATGAAATCTTCATAGGATTCATGCCTACACTCAGAGAGTAGTAGGAAAGATGGAGGACAGTCTGGATTGACCCAGGACACATGGAGGTCTATGCCTCAGTTTTTCATCTTTAAAGGCAGAGTGTTAACAATATGGTTAGATAGATATGAAATTGGCAAAGCATCAGTATAGTATAATGGCTGTGAGCATCCATCTGGTCAGATTTTATGGGCTTGTGTTTCTACTCTGGTACTCATTAGTTGTACGGAAGGTAAAGAAGCAAGAAAAAAAAACACCATAGTTTTTCTTCTGAATCTTCTAATCTTTGGTTCTCTTGACCTATTCTAACAATGGCCATTCAGATCTTGAAATAAAGCTAACAGGATTTGCCTGAAGATTTAAAAGTCAACTTTGGGCATTGCTACTTGACTATTGCTTGGGGTTAGATATTAGAAACACGGAAACAAGAAGCCAGCCCTATTGTTCAGCAGGTCAAGGCACTTGTAACCAAGACAAATGACCTCAGTGTCATTCCCAGAACTCACATGGTGGAAGAAGAAAGCCTTTGCATACATGCCATGGCACACCATAACCACACATATACACATAATACATAAATCTATATACATAAATATAATACCACTTGAAAAGAAATGTTATAATAAAAGTAACAGAAAAAATACATCTCTTCTAAAATCATTAAAAAAAAATTTGGAAGAAACTTTCAACATGACTGTGATGTAGCCCACTGATGGTACCAGCACCTAAGAGACAGGCCTGATGTCTACAAGCTTCAAATTAGGCTATTGGGGCTATATGCATATCAAAAATAACAAAACTAAAATAGATAGAAACCTGAGTGAAGTGACTTTATTAAATACCTGGATTGAATTCCTACCACTAATGTTAATTCATTTAAAATGAAACTCAGATCAAAGAGGGACTTCCCACAGACGTGTGGGTGGGGCAGACAGGGAGGAACTGGTGGCTGGGGCATCTTTGAAGAGATGTCAGGCAAGCACTGAGAGATGCTAAGCTGAAGCAGAACTTGGGGCCAATTGTGGAGACTGTGAAGGAAGCTCTTAGAGCAGATGGAAACCAAATGCCACTCCTTGGAGAAAATGACTATGACTTGGTGAAAGGAGAAAGAGAAAATTGCAAAACAGGGAAAGAAACCCACCGGGAAAGGAAGTTCTCACAACACATCCAGCAAATTCCAGTCAGCCAGACTAGGAATAGAGAATCCACTAAGAACATTTGAAGATCTCTGTATGCTGTCATGGTATTCAGGATCAACGTTCATATTAGGAGCGCTACTGTGCCTGCATTGAGGCAAGGAAGCCTTTGGACTGGAGCTGGCCATTGTGTTGCTGCCAGGCTGTGATGACTCCTCTGTCTCAAGGGGACAGCTTGGCTTTTAAAGAGCTTGATGCTACTCCGAGTTTTTCCCTACCAGCTTTCAAAGTCCTTTTGTTTAAAAGATGCCTGATTGCCACACCTAAAGCTTCCTCTACTGGAGGGTTTCCAGCTGGACACAGATTCTCTACTGCCTCCGGGCAGTACCTTCGGATCTAGCAATTTTCTAATCTGCACGATTGCGCTCAATTGTTCACCCTGTGGTGGGCTCAGCGTGGCACCCAATGGCACCGTGTGCCACTAAGGATGCAGGATCAAGTGAGACCTGAAGTCTGCCCCGTGGGAAAACAAAAGCAGTAATTACCCGATGAGCTGTATGGGTACAAAGTATGGAGCCAACGCTGAAGGTGGAGCCTGGCTCCCTAGGCATGTGTCAATGCAAATGATGCTTTCCTGGGAGGCACGCCCAGTTCAGCCTCCCGCTCCTCTTTTATGAGCTTTAAACGTAATCGGTCTGTGGGTAGCTGTTGTTCTCTACAGATAGGCCTCACTTGAAGAGTGCATTCCTGATCCTCTTGACTGGCCGGTTACTGTCCCATGTGATCCGTGGTTGCCTGGGGTATTTACTATTGCTCAACAGTACAGGTGTGATATCTCTACAAGACCTAAAGCCCGTAGCCACCTCAGGGAGCACAGGATTTTTGCCTAACAAGCAATCAGGTTTTGGTTTTGTTTCTTATTAAACTGAGGTGTTGCCTGAAAAACACAGGTTTTTTTTAAAAAAAAATACAGTTTTACTTTAAGTTTGTCTTAGAAAGTATACAGGTTTCGATGAGATATTTGAAAGAATTTTTCCTTCTCTGTTTTCTAAAGGATATCCTTAGATATTATGTCTCACAGTTTTCTAATATCTGAACAGAAAAGAGCCTCAAAAATGGTTGGACATATGCCTTTTGTCCTGTTCTTGAATCTAGTCCTTACTCCTTCAGGTTGGCATCGAGAACTGTCCAACAGTGGGTGGCACAATGCTGTGTTCATGCCTGGTCCATGCTTTGGAAGACTTCAAAACAAAGACTTCCATTATCTGTAGAGCATTACATAACCTCCAAATTGTTTTCACTTGTGTATCCTCTCTTGATTGCAGCTGGTGTTGTCACTGTCTTATGAAAACAGCCACCCAGATGGCTGGGTTATAGTCACCACTTCATAGAATGGTGACAGTCAAATCTTTTCAAGGCTCTTATATGAGTGTCTGGAAAAAAAATGATGGGCACTCCAATTGTGAACTACAGGTTCCTGCAAGGTACATGGAACACGCCTGCAGTCTCAGCCCTCGGAAGGCTAAACCAGATTGCAAGTTCAAGGCTAGTTGGGGTTGCATAGAGAGCTCTTGCCTCAAAACAAAACAAACACACGAAAGAACAGGGGAGAGTGGCTCAGTTTTTTAAAGTTCTTGTTGTAAATGGCTGGAGACCAGAGTTCAGATCCACGCACCCACCCAAACTCTGTCTGCAGTGGTGTGCACGCATAGCATAATCATGGTGCTGAGGAAGACGAGACAGTCATCTCCTGTAGCTAATTGGCCTAGCCAAATCGGAGAACTCCAAGTTAGTCAAGTATGGTAGTTTGAAAGAGAATGCCCCCCAATGGGAGTGGCACTAATAAGAGAGATATGGCTTTGTTGGAGTAGGTGTGGTCTTGTTGGAGGAAGTGTGCCACTGTGGAGGCAGGCTTTGAGGTCTCATATAGGTGCAAGCTATGCCCTGTGTGGCAGTTCACTTCCTGTTGCCTTTGGATCAAGAAGTGGAATTCTCCAGCACCAGGTCAGCCTGCACGCCACCATACTCCCAGCTGCCACGCTCCCCACCATAATGACAATAGACTAAACCTCCGAAACTGTCTCAGATAAATGTTGTCTTTTATAAGAGTTGCAGTCATGGTATCTCTTCATAGCAATAAAAAGCTTAACTAATGCAGTGAAAAACCTGGTCTTACAGGTTGATTAGAAACCCTGACTCCACAAACAAGGTAGAGAGTGACTGAAAAAGATATCTGGTACTAATCTCACATGTGCACACACATGCATGCATGCCAGCACATGTTCATAAACACAGCCTAATGAACACATACATACAAGATGGCCAAAAGGAGGAATGGCTGAGCACCAGAACATGCCGGATTCCTAAGGGCAAATATATCTGACTCCGATGTTCAAGCTTCAACGTGGTTGCTAGAATTGACAAACATAGCAATAAAAGCTTGCCATGTGGTGTACACTTTCATTCCTGCAGCCATGAGGCAGAGGAAGGTGGGTCTCCATTATATTGCTGTGCTTCACCATTGGTGTGACAAACGCGTGCCACTGAGTTCTTTTGTCAGGCAGGGCACTTCACAATGGCAAAGATTCTAGAACTGCTGGAGTTATCGGATAATAAACATGTTCAGCAGTGCCGACGGTGAGCCGGTCACCAAGCTCACTTCATCTCCCTGAAAATTCTTGCTGCCCATTTGAGGGGTGGCCATTATTATCTTTTTCAGGTAGGAAAAACTAAGCCTTAAATAAATGGAAACCACCTACCAAATGGTGGATCACTGGGAATCTGCTATTCCTAGATTTAATCCCAGACTTTGAAACTTAAACCTTTTTTTTTTTTTTTTTTTTTTTTTTTTGTTTTTTTTTTTTTTGGAAGTAATTTTATTAAATTATAAAAAGTTTCCATTTACGCCCCTCCTCCCAACGCCCTCCCACTCCCCCCCTCCCTCTCCTCCTCCCTCTTTGTCCCCAAGGGCAGTCAGGGTCTCCTGCCCTGTGGGAAGTCCATGTTCCTCCCCCCTCCCTCCAGGTCCAGGAAGGTGAGCATCCAAACAGACTGGATCCCAAAAATCCAGTATATGCAGAAGAAACCAGTCCCAGTGTCATTGTCAATGGCTTCTCAGAAAGACTGCAGGCCAACCACATTCAGAAAATCCGGCCACATTCAGAGAATCTGGTTGGATCACATGCTCGTTCAGTCACGGTCCATCTGGCCTTGGTAAACTCTCATTAGATCCGACCCCTTGTATCAGTGGGTGATAGTATCCCTCGCAGTCCTTCGTCATTTTCTTCCTCCTTCTGCTCCTCATTTGGATCTTGGGGGGCTCAGTTCGGTGCTCCAACGCGGGCCTCCATCTGTATCGCCATCCAACGCCAGATGAAGGATCTCTCTGGGAAGAACTGCTCCGCAGGGCAACAGGGCTAGCTGGTCTTCCCAGGACTCAGGAGACAAAGGGCCCGCAGCAGCCTGAAACTTAAACCTTAACCTCTGAAATTCCATGATAACATTTTATGAAGTGCAGTACACAACTTCCCCCTGAATTAATTGCATTTTCCTACGAGATTTATCAAGTCATCTGTTCTCCCAGGCATCTCAGAGTAACAGAATCAGAATTTTCTGGAGAAGGGCTGTAGGCGTATCTGGCTGGAGGACTTTTCATGTGGAACACCGTGGTCACCATGGTTAGAACCACAACTCTGTCACTTCCCCCTACTAATTCTTCTTTTTTTTCCTTTTTTTTTTTTTTGAGTGGGGCGATGTTAGAGGAAAAATTTGGGCTTCACTTCACACCCCTAAAGTCGACTCACAACATGGAATGAAACTGTTGTTTTGTAAATTGATGCCGGGCATGCCATGTACTTAGACTACAGAATGAGCAACTCGCACCAGGATTTGTACAGAATTGGAATGCAGAGACTTTTGCTGTTTCCATTTTCGTTTCTTAAAATTTTTTATTGATTTTATTGAGCTATATATTCTTCTCTGCTCTCCTCTCTTCTTCTCCCCTCCCCTTCTACCCTCTCCAATGGTCCTCACACTCCCAATTTACTCAGAAGATCTCGTCTTTTTCTACTTCCCATGTAGATTAGATCCATGTATGTTTCTCTTAGGGTCTTTATTACTGTCTAGGTTCTCTGGGATTGTAAATTATAGGCTTATTTTCTTTGCTTTATGTAAAAAAGCCAATTATGAGTGAGTACATGTTGTATTTGTCTTTCTGAGTATGGGGTACCTCACTCAATATGGTGTTTTCTAGATCCATCCATTTGCCTGCAAATTTCAAGATGTCATTATTTTTTTCTGCTGTGTAGTACTCCATTGTGTAAATGTACCACATTTTTCTTATCTATTCTTTGGTCAAGGGGCATTTAGGTTGTTTCCAGGTTCTGGCTATGACAAACAATGCTGTTATGAACATAGTTGAGCACATGTTCTTGTGGTACGATTGAGCATACTTTGGGTATATATCCAAAAGTGGTATTGCTGGGTCTTGATGAAGGCTGTTTCCTAATTTTCTGAGAAATCACCAAACTGATATTCAAAGGGGCTGTACCAGCTTTCATTCCCACCAGCAATGGAGGAGCGTTCCTTTAACCCCACAACCTCTCCAGCATAAGTTGTCAACAGTGTTTTTGATCTTGGCCATTCTTACGGGTGTCAGATGGAATCTCAGAGTTGTTTGATTTGCATTTCTCTGATGACTAAGGATGTTGAGCATTTCCTTAAGTGTCTTTCATTCATTTTAGATTCCTCTATTGAGAGTTCTCTGTTCTTTTAAATATTAGAAAAATTGCTGACAGGGGAAAATAGCAAGACTGAGAACTTTGTCCTGGAGAATCAGCTCAGAGGTAGAGCATTTCCTTTGCCCTGTGTTTGCCCTTCTACTGTTCAGCAACCTAAGTAAGATGAAACCTCCAAAAGCCAGAGTTTGTCGAGAGGCTGAATAGATTGATCAATAGTTCTTCTTTCCCTATTTCAGGACCCCTACTTGTAGTTATTGTTATCTTCTCTAATATTTTTGCTATAATGATCTCTTAGGTAGGGTACAGTCCTGGTCATTCAGGGGTCCCCACTGAAGAAGGGGCTGTCAGAGTGGAAATTATCATTTCTGACCTACAACAAATAGAACACCATGAAGACACCACATATTTTTCAAAAATTTTCCTAAAATGTACAAAAAGTGTTATCTGTAGGAACAGGCACAAGAGGCTAAAAGACCATTGCACTTCCAGTAGGAGTCCTATATCAGGCATGAAGTCTTTCTACTTCAAATGTGAGCCTGAGTTTATGTTGCTCTGTGCTGCCTCACTTGGAGTCTGAGTGTCCCCCTGTAGCTGTTTTGTCTGCCATGTCGTCCTTCGAAGCAGTAATATAATGAAACGAACCCAGTCCATCTCTTTCCTTGTACTGATTCCAAACACGCATCCTTAATTTGGGTGCACTGTTGAATCTCAGTTTTCAAAACTAGAATCACAAGGGATCACTAATCTTTATTTCCATGATTGTCCTATAAAATAGTGCTAGCACAATTAACCCTTTTCCAATTTTTCAATTTATCAAATTTGTGAATGTCTGCTTGGGACTTACATAAATTAGTCACAAGGACTGACTTCTGCAGGCAGTGTTCTTTTCATGATAAAGAAAACAGACTCTGAGAAGTAAAGATAACTACAGAAATTAAAGGTACAGCTAATGGCCAAGTCGGAACCATAATCTAGGTCGCTTCGCACAAAGGGCTTTCCTCTTCAAGAAAACCCTATGTGGCAAAGCCTTCAAAAATAAATGGGAATTGAAATGGACTTTTTTCTGTACCTTTTTTTTCTGTACTTCATGTTGATCTAGCGTCTCTCCTTCTACGATACCCATGTCTGTCCCAAGCACTCCACAGAAGCAAAACAAAAGACTCCCTGACTCTAAAAGCTGAGAAATTTTTAATACAAAACCTGCTGAAGGGGCTCAGTATTAGTTGGATTTCTTGTCTTCGTGTGTGGCCTGCTGTCACTCCCAAGACCTCCACCATTGTAGAGGTGGAGCAAGGGCTGATGGCTCACTGGAGAATTAAAAGCTGTTATTTTGCCTTTCAAAACAACAGCTGAGCAAGCCAAGCCCATCTCACCACACACACACACACACACACACACACACACACACACACACACACACCACCTGCTTAGGGATTAGCCTTCAGGCTCAACCCCACCCACTCAATCGCTTCATCTAAAAGTGTTTCTCTTGCTTTTCCAAAACTCCTATCCTCGTTCTGAAGTCCTAGTGTGCAGATCTCAAAATCCAGGAGACCAACTGACTAAAAGGAGTCCCAATTCAGCAGCCTGGATATGGGGTCAGGGGAACTGTGTTTCTTAATTCATGCCTCTTATCTTGCAAATACATCTACCCAATGTCTTGATACTCCTTGTGTTCATGAAAAGCAAAACACAGCTCAGCCTTCCTCTTCCTCCATAACAATAAGATTCTGCCTGGCCACTTGATGTGTGCCAGGTGGGCACAACAAATCAAATTGGCATCTACCCAGTCTTTGAATTCTTCCTTTGATGTTTCAGCTTAGAACCTATGCTGCTCTTTGGAAAGAAAGACTACATGGCAGTAGCTGTAAAACTATCTGAGTGTCACTTTAATTCTGTTTGCACAGAATATTTCATGGTCTTCAGAGTACACACCAGTTTGTAGTGGGGGTGAGCACATCTCAGGCATGAGGTGACTAACCAAAGGCAGACTGAAGGAACTTCAGACTGAATGAGTTTAAAATAAGTTGAATAGAAGAAAAATCAGTTTTATTTTCCCTTCCTTTGTTTGCCCCTGTGAACTTTTGTTCCATCATGACTGTTCTTCCTTTGGAATCTGGCATCTGCTGTTCAAAACACCCCCTCATGCTCAGACATGTTTACGAACTTTTCTCAGCAAGTTTTGACACTAACTTGCTGGAACAATCTATCAGAAGCTTTGCCTTGTGGGCAAATTTGAACAAATTCACAGCCACTGTCCTAGGTGGGAGGACCCCCTCCAGTGATCGCCGTGTTTGCAGCCAATGTGGTCAACCTCAGCTTTAAAAGAAAAGAAAAAAAGAGTAGAGCTAAGCAGAATCTTAAAACTCTGCTTAGTGCTGATTCCTAGATTTCTTCCCACAAAAAGTGTAGGTTGAAGCTTACATAAGCTCATCCCAGACTTTAGAATTCCCTCTGGAAACATCCAGAAGATGGGCCAGGCCTAAGATAGTCATAATGGAGGCCAAAGGGAAAAAACAGTTGGAAATGATTATAGTAAAGAGGAACAGAAGGGAGTGCTTGGAAAAGAAAACAGGGCAGATTGCATCGTACAAAAATAAGAAAGCCCACCCCTGTTGAATGGCTACAAGGTCTTAGGCCCTCTTCAAACACTTAAAGTGTAGTCTTGTCTTCATCTCCATCTGTGAAGACAGTGTTCTGGCTAGCGATGTACTCCTCCAAAACAGATAGGTGAAAGTCATAACCCCAGCAAACTTCTTAAGAAACAGAAATGGAACGTCTGAGGTGAGGGCAGAGTAGGGTAGATCCAGTCAATATGAACCAATAGCCTTATGAATTTGCATAGTGAGAAATACCGCGATGGGGAGAAGATTATTCACACAGTAACACAAGGCCGACTCCCACTAGCCAAGGAGAAAGGCGTTCACCTGGGACACATTATTCTTTCATAGTCCTCAGAGGAACTGTCCCTGCTGACACCTTATGAGACAGTAAATTTCCGTTCCCTTTGCTGCACAGTTTGTATGTCTTTGGTAGTGAGGCTCAAGAAAATTAGGGAACCAAGGTTCAGACACATTACGAAATCCGTTTGTGTCCAATGATCTTGTGCTTGCACACAAAGCTCCAGGAAAACCCGGGCTAGAATTTACCATGATTCCTTTCAAGAGAACATGGTAACATTATGGTCTTCAAATATTTTGCTAGAGACATCCTATTCACAATGTAGTAAAGTCCATCCACTATGTAAGAGCCAGGGAGAGCTTTCCTAGCTGGACTCAGATGAAGCCTATGTCTCCATTCCCCTTTCCCATGTGTCTGCCCCTCCCTACACTCTCATGGTTAGTGGACATATCCTGGAGAACACTGTTGGCTAAACACAATACACACAAAGAGAAGCTAGGTGAAAAGTAACACAGTACGTACACGAAGCATAGCACAAGAAGACAAGGAACTGCTGCCATGAAACGTCATGGAATTCATAGGAAAAGAGCAGAAATCAAAGGGTGCCATGTTGAACCAAGGTCCAGTCGGTAGAGAGCTTGACACACGAGCATAAAGGGCTGAACTAGTGTCTCCAACACCCACATAAAACCTATGTAGTGTGCACATCTGTAACCTTTGCACAACTGGGGAGGGGAAGGCCTTAGAGGCAAGTGGATTCCCAGAGCTAGGTAGCCAGCTAGTCTAGCTGAATAAATAATCTCTGCATTCAATGAGAAACAGTGTCTAAAAAATAAGGCAAGGAGATGATAGAGGAGGACACTTGAAGTCAATCTCTAGCCTCTGCAAGTACACAAGTATGCATGTACTCCATGCAGATGATTACATGCACACAAAGCATGTATTCACATATCACACACACACACACACACACACACATACACACACACACACCACATACATATTTAAAGGAGAAAGTATGGTGTCGGTTTTTCAAAAGGTCTTATCTACTATCTAACTGGCAGATCATGGTGGGAAGAGCCTTGTATGATGAGAAATGGGGAACCCAGCAACCATGTGATTGACGAAGGACCAGTTTTTCCTTCCTCGCTAATGTCCTGGTAAGCCCTGCCTGTCTCACCACTAAAGGAGAATAGAGAAATATAGAGAAATGGAATCATAGATGTAAAGAGAACTTTGAAATTTCTTGAACAATATGCCACACCAGGATAAGAATTATTTTCGTACTAAACTACCTTGCATTTTAGAATGTAAAGACAATTGTTAAAATAGACAGAGAAATTGGGGGGGGGGGGGGTGCGCACTGAAGTGAAGGCTCCTGAATCCCCAGCCAGACTTTCCAGGAGTCAGGCTGACTGCATTTGGAAGAATATGGAAAAATCAGCCTAGCATGAAATTATGAAATGCAATCGCTAACGGGGTCGTTCTGCATAGGCCTTCGCCTCTGCATTCAGCATTCTCTTTGAAGTCCCTGACCTCTCTCTTGTCACTGAACTGTTCAATAACTACTCTGAACTGAATGGAACATCCCAGCCCGCCCTGCTGATGTAATCAGACAAGGCTCACCCTGCACAGCCAGAGTCTCTGATTAGCATTCGTTTCAGCAAATGGAGTGGGGCCCTAGGGAGTCATTAATGTACCCACGGCCTGCGATCAGACATAAGCCACATAAACCTCAAGAATAAGAATGATCGAGTCATGCCTCATTTTTAACATGCTAGTTCTACTGGAGACTCCTGCAGACTCTTTCATTTTCCGTCTGAAATTCAAAATAAATACTGTGCTATTACCAATTGAAAGAGCATATTTTATATTTAACAAGAGATTTCACAGAATTCCAGAATGATAGAGCTATGGAGACCATGGGGTTCAATCATCGTCTCATTTTGTAGATGGATAAAACAAGAGCAAGAGGGACACTGGCCTGTCAGAGTTCATTCCAAATGCCATGTCAGAGCATGGTTAGAGCTCACACAGATTGCCATCCAATACTGGGTACTGTTATTGATGGCCAAGAGCAAAGACATGTTAGCATTACAGGAATGATGTGGAGGGTAAACAAAGGGGGACTAGTTATTACCAATATATTTTGGGGTCCTTCTCAATAATAAGCACACATGGAATGCCTGATTTTGTAATTCTACGGTGGGCACAAGCATTAGCCAGAGAGAGGAACTTGAGAAATGATTTTAGAATGTACATGTCAAATAGGTACATATGCTAATAGTTGAAGAGAATTACTGACTGGTTTGAGTGCCTGCAATTATTTTTTATAGGTTTTCAAACTTGGTGACTTCCTTTACAATTTCCAAAAAAAAAAAAAAAATCAGATGGGGAGGGTAGAGATAAAAAAGTGATTCAATTGTTAAGAGCACCGGATTTTCTTCCAAAAGGATCCAGGTTCAATTTCCAGCACCCACATGGCAGCTCCCAACTATCTATATGTCTGTTCCAGAGTATTTGACACCCTCACACAGACCTATATGCAGACAAAACATAGAATAAAAATAAATAAATCATTGGGCTAGAGAGATGGCTCAGTGGTTAAGAACACTAGGTAACCATCCAGAGGACCCTGATTTGATTCCCAACGCCCACATGGAGGCTCACAACCAGTTCCAAGGAATCTGATATTCTCCTCTGTCTCCACAGGAACTGTACATACATGATGCAATACACACATGTACGTAAGATACTCATACACAGGGATTTTTTTAAAAAATCAGATGGACACATCTAAATTGTCATAATTTCTTACTGGATTTTGAAAAAAATAGATCCTTTATATGACCATAGCACTTTTGAAAATACAAACAAAGTTGCAGATTTTTACAAGTTCCTTCAGGAAATTCAGAAATGAAATAACTCCTCACAGTTACTAGCTATGTTACTAGGCAGACACTAAACCAGACTAAATCCCTCTGCTGTGAAAGGGGAGAGGAGTACTCGCCTTGTAGGCCTGTTTTCTAAGTGAATGTATGTATGGAAATTACTCAGATACTAATTCCTAACCTCACCATTAGCATGTTTAAAACAAAAAGAATAAATTCTGAATCAGGTATAAGAAATTGTGATTAGTCACTAAATTCTCTGCCCAGAAAGTCTTCTATTTAAAAGCTTTTATTTTATGTCACTCAATTGTCCTGAATTCTCAAGATTTTATTTCTATATTAACTCTTAGACAATTTCTCCATATGTGGTATACATTCCTTTTTAATTTTAATTAGATATATTTTTTAATTAATGAGTACATTTTTAAACACCTAAGTCATTGTATTTAGGAACTTCTAGCTTTCATTGTGTAGTTTTATATTGATAATCCAAGCTTTTGGTTTTGAGAGGGAATGGCATGTACTTTCATAGCAGATCATAATAGAAGAATCAGTGCAATACCTTGGTGTAGGAGTTCCTTCTATATTTGTGTTGCTTTCATTGGTTAAATAAAGATACTGCCTTGGCCTTTGGATAGGGCAGCCCTCAGGTAGGTGGAGAAGACAGAACAGAATGCTGGGAGGAAGAAGGCAGTGTGGCAGATGCTATGCTTCTCCTGCCCAAACAGACACTGGTTAGATTCATGCAGGTAAGCCACGTCCTTGTGGTGAACACAGATTTAATAGAAATGGGTAAATCAAGATGTGAGAGTTAGCCAATAAGAGGCTAGAGCTAATGAGCCAGGCAGTAATTTAATTCATACAGTTTCTGTGTGGTTATTTCGGGGGTTAAGCTAGCTGGGCAGCGGGCCGCAGCCCGCTTCTCCTTACTACAGTACCTCACATGGCTTTCAAAAGAGTCCTGGGAGTTAATTACAATCCACATTTTGTGACTGAGAAGCTGAGAATAAGAAAATCAAAATGGCAAAAAAATCATCAAGAAGTCTTAAGTGGCCAAACGAAGCCCAGAACTGAATCCAAGTTTCCTGAACTAAAATGCTTATAAAAGTCTCAGCAGAGAGTTTGGGGTGGGCGCAGGGGCAATAAAATAGGGATCAGTTAAGTTTCTAGAAAAATAGAGATACAAATGTGAAAATGATAGTTCAAAATTACCTCTTTTGTAAAATGAACTGGAAATACTTTTAGGTGAAACATCTCATTTTTAAAAACATTTTTCAGTCAAAGCAAAGCATATATCCTAGAGACACCTGCCTCAAACTTTGAGTCGACACCAATAAACTTTTAAGCACATATGCTTTGTTTAGTTTCCTAAATTTATTTCGTGAAATGATACTTATCAAAGTGGACTCTCTTAGAAGTCAAGGGTTAAAGGTTTGTTTTTACTATCTTAACTTATGTAGGGATGTCTCTGTGTGACTATGCAGGCATGACTACTGGTGTCCATAGAATCCAGAAGAAATTATCTGACCTGCCCCTGAAACTGGAGTTACAGGTGGTTGTGAGCTGTCTAACATGGGTGCTGAGAATCAGTTCAACTCTTCTGCAAGAACTGTGTCTGCCCTTAGTCTCTGAGCCATCTGCAGCCCAGAAGTCAAAATTTAAAATGGTGTTTATCACAAGCTTGTGAGACTGGTGGATAGACAGATATTAAAACTCTGGTGTGTTTTAATATATAATTGGGTGTCTGTAAATTAAAAAAAATACATTTGGTTTCTGTTGTTTATTTTTTTTGAGCATAGCACAAGGAACCTTGCATTCACAGATCTCCGGATAAACCAGAAATGTTAAACATACACAATTCTTCCATCCAGAAAGCAAAGAATCAAAAGTGATTGGCAGCCTGGTCATCTGTGTTACCTGTTAGGACAGGCCATATCACCAAGTTCTTACAACCAAGACTGGAGGTAGCTAGTAAATTAAATAACTCTTATGGCCATAGGCTCCCCCAAGCTCCTACAACCAGGACAAGGGGTAACTAATAACCCAAATGACCTCTATGCTATCTATATGGAGAGCAGACCAGATCCTTCCTTAGATCCTTAAACTGCTACAGGTAGCCTCTCTCTAGAACCCATCTTCATGGAGGAAAAGACATGTAACCTGAGTTGAGTTTCATTGTACTTATGCTTCCTCGTGGAATGGGGATTGTATTGCACCCGGAGACTTTTTCCAAACTCTACTGGACTTAAAAACATTGGGAATAAACTGCCTGTTATCAGACTCCCCAAAGTCTGATCCAGATTTGGACCCAGTTTTCATTATCTCTTCACAAGACTTGCTTTCTTGTGTGACACCTGTGGAGAACCCCCACAATTTACTTCTTTCTTTCTTTCTTCCTTCCTTCCTTCCTTCCTTCCTTCCTTCCTTCCTTCCTTCCTTCCTTCCTTTCTTTCTTTCTTAGGTTACAAGACCAGTTGTGGATCTCCATTACTGTAAAAAGAAGTTTCATTGATGAGGAGTGAGAGTTCCTCTTATCTATGGGCATAAGGCGAAGTACTTATGTACATTGGGAAATCAATCAGGAAAATGGCAACAGCAGGTTCTCCCTTGGGTGATTCCCCCTCTAGCTACTGGTAGTTAGCTAGTTTCCCAGTATCAGACACTAATTCTCTCCTACTGATGGTCCTTGGGTCCAACTAGACCGCTATTAGTTACCTTTAATATAAAAGCACCACTACTGCACAGTTGGAGATATCTTACCTGGCCTGTCATTGTTGTGTTTCTTTGGCCCTGCTTTCCACTGGAGCTTGCACAGTTACTGTGATAGTGAGTCCTCAGGGAGGAGGCTTCCGGTCAGCTACACCTCGACTGTCCAAAGTGCCATGTCAGAAATATGTGTTGTCTTCAGCAATATAGTCTTTCCTTTAAATTCTGAGACTCGACCAAGGACAATGGCAAAAAAACTATATTGTTTGGAGAGTCTCTTGAACTCTGTTGACTAACAATTTGAAGGGATATTTCCTGTGCTTGGTACTGGGGATTTTGTCAGATTGTTTATGGTTCCTGGGGAGAGAGAAGGTAACATTATTGATTTATATGACCAAGTTCCATCTCTCTCTCTCTCTCTCTCTCTCTCTCTCTCTCCATCTCTCTCTCTCTCTCAAGAGGGATGAATGGATAGATAGATAGATAGATAGATAGATAGATAGATAGATAGATAGATAGATAGATAG